GGGGGCTTCGTACCTACAAGCCAACATTTATTATGTATGTAGATAGTTCATTTATTTCGGGAATTAAAGTTAACGTAAGCATCGAACATTGCTTTAATGAAAAGTATGTCGGACAGACTAGACAACTTCCAGCCTCCCGAACAAGCCGGTTTCCGAAAAGGCTTTAGTACCATAGACCACATGCATACCCTTCGGCAAATTGTACAGAAGACCGAAGAGTACAATCTGCCACTTTGTCTTGCGTTGTGGACTATGAAGCCTTTGATTCCGTCGAAATTTAGGCGGTGCTGCAGTCCCTCCAGCGGTGTCAAGTGAACTGTCGGTATATCGAAGTGCAGAAATGTTTTACAGTACGTCTACGATGGCTATCCGAATACAGAATCAGAGTACGGAACCTATCCAACTGCAGAAAGGTGCAAGACAGCGTGACGTAATATCCCCGAAACTGTTCACCGCTGAATTGGAAGACATTTTCAAGCTACTGGACTGGAAAGGATACGGTATTAACGTCAATGACGAGTACATCACTCACCTTCGATATGCCGACGATATATTAGTCTTTATGGCAAAATCGCTGGAGGACCTAAGCATGTTCAATGACCTCAATAGTGTCTCCCAACGGATAGGTCTTCAGATGAACATGGACAAAACAAAAATCATGTTTAACGTCCATGTCACTCCTATGCCGGTAGTTGTTGGGAGCACTAAGCTCGAAGATGTTGACGAATATGTTTACCTGGGACAAATAGTCCGTCAATAAGTCCAACTTTGACTGAGAGTTCAATCGACGGATTCAACTCGGCTGGGCAGCGTTCGGGAGATTACGACACATCTTCTCGTCAGACATGCCTCAAAACCTCAAAACTAGATTGTAAAGCTAGTGTGTGTTGCCAGTGATGACCTATGGATTTGAGACGTGGTCCTTCACTACTGGGCGTATGAGGAAGCTCAAAGTTGATCAGCGAGCTATGGAGAGGGCTATGCTCGGCGTTTCTCTGCGTGATAGACTTAAAGACAAGGATATCCGTAGTAGAACCAGAGTAAACGACATAGCCCAAAGAATTAATATGCTGAAGTGGCAATGGGCCGGCCATATAGCTTGACGAACCGACAACCGATGGGGAAGAAAGGTTCTCGAGTGGCAGCCTCGTACCGGCAGGCAAAGTGTAGTGCGTCCCCTCACTAGATGGAGTGACGACCTAGTAAGACATGCAGGAAGTCAATGGATGCAGGTGGCTCGGGACCGTGCTTTGTGGCATTCCTTGGGGAAGACCTATGTACAACAGTGGACTTGTGAAGGGTTATAATGAGGAATGATGATGATATCCGATTGAAGGACAAACTTATCTTTGCAGTGGAATAAAATGTTCACTCGTACATCGGCTTATGTACATCACGGTCGATGGTTCAACTGCAAATGTAAGTTTGTAATTGGAAAAAATTGTGATATAACTACAAATTAATGATTTGCAGCTTTTTCCGTGATTGCTGTGACATTTTGCTTCTTGCAAGTTTCATCGTTCTAGGTAAACGGGAAGTATCCTATAGGTTTTGATGAGTGAGTTAGTAAGTATCAAAATATGTGACATAAATCAGTATCTTTTGATTGCATTGTCTTAGTATTTGATATTAGTTTTAACTTAATATATCTTTATCCGTTATACGAAATATAAGGGTTCGATTTTTTCCTTTTGTGATATGGAACCCTAAAAATCTTGAATAAAACTACTTTTACGGATTTTATTGCGTTTAATTAACTTATTTTGCTTATATTTTATTAATTCCCGACGTTTCGGGTGAGCAGCCCTCACCCGCTATGGCAAATCGCATTATTACTTTCGTATCGTAATCGCTATTAATATTTATCTTATATCTATTATCGTCACTGCGTTACTAGCGATACGTTTTGCCAGCAACGCAAAATTTCAACAGTTCGTTACGGTCAAAATTTTAGAGCAACTAATTTTTAAACTTAGTACCTAAAAAGCCCCTACTTTGGGATTTTTCTAAAAGCAATTTTAATTCTATTCTGATTTTCAGAAAACATGAATTTTGTATCTGATGTGTTCTGAATACCCACTTTATGTTTATTAGAATAGAATAGAATAGAATAACTTTTATTCAATATAATACTTATTGAAAGTAATTTTTTTTTATTTACCACTGGTTCGGAAAATACCTCTGTCCTGGGAAGAACCAGCACGAAACCTAGCGGGATTTTTTTAAAAACATATTTCACTTTACAATAATTTTGTTTGTTGTTACAAATTTTAAATGAGTTTTAAGAGAACCAGCATGGTGGCGATCACCTCATTTCCAGCGGTTTTTTTCTATATAAGTATGTAGTCTTTGATATATAATATCAAAGACTACATACTATAACCCTTTTTGTACAATTTTTCTTTAATAAAACATTTAACTAATTTATTGACAAATTTTGTACATTTTCTGGGATTTTATTTTAAAAGCTTATACCTACATTGCCCCATAAATGAATTACTAATTCTGTGGAGTCTAGTAACTGGTATGTTAGCTGTTGTTATGTTATTGTAGTTATTACTATATATATACTATAGTTATTACTATATATATACTATAGTAATTACTCTATGTTACTGTAGCTTATGTTTGTTACTAGTGTTTAAAGTATGAATATCTTTATTCTTATTAAAGATATTTATGTTTTTATGTACATACATTACATTTTCATAAATATGTTGCGATGCCAAAATTAATATGTTTATTTCTTTAAATTTTTCTCTAAGGGACTCATTACAATTTAAGTTATAAATCTCCCCTACGGCTCTCTTTTGCAAAACAAATATAACTTCAATATCAGTCGCATTACCCCATAGCAATATTCCATAAGACATCACGCTATGAAAGTAACTAAAATGAGCTAATCTAGCTGTCTTAACATTGGTGAGGCTTCTAATCTTTCTTACAGCATATGCTGCAGAACTAAGTCTGCTTGCAAATTTAGATGTATGGGGGCCACATTTAAGCTTCGCGTCAATAGTAATACCAAGAAAAACGGTGGTATCCACAAGACTCAACTCCTCCCCATTTAAGAGCACGTTGGTATTTGAATGCTTAACATTAAATTTTTGTGTTATTGCCGTTTAAGAGCAAATTGTTGGCGTTAAACCAATGTACTAATTTCGATAGAGCATTATTTACATCGTAATAATTAATTGACTGCCGTTTGAGTCTGACGATTAAAGAGGTATCGTCAGCAAATAATACTATATCGTGATTGTCCCCTTTAAGATAAGGTAAGTCATTAATACAGATTAAGAACAGGAATGGGCCAAGAATCGAGCCCTGAGGAACGCCCACTGATACTACCGATCCGAAGGAACCTTTATCGTTGATCACGACTTTATGAGTTCTGTTACTTAAATATGAAGTAATAAGTCTAAGCGCTAATTTTTTTACACCGTAATGTTGTAGTTTCCTGATTAATGTCTCATGATGAACACAATCGAAAGCCTTGGAAAGGTCACAGAAAATACCTAAGGCATCCTGTGAATTCTCCCAGGCACCAAAAATATATTTCATAAACTCAGCACCGGCGTTATGAGGTGCAATTAAATCTATTATGGACGCAATAACTGTGTCGGAAATCCCCCATAAAACTGGGGTTTTCTTTACAACAAGGGTTTTGAAATATTTTACAATATCTTGTGGTAATAGTTTTACAAATCTATTTTTTTAAACAGATATTAACATTCTGTTTGAGTAATGAATCGGCGACAGTTGGAGAAGTATTCAATGACTTTGTTGTCAAAATAGGTATATATCATTGAAATATTTCTCAAACACCGCTGCGACTTCTTGATTTGATCTAGTTGATAGATAATTTGTGTTACGAGGTTTGTCTTTACCAATTTCGCTATTAATTATACTCCACGTCATTTTAATTTTACTTTAAGCGATCTTAATTTTATTGCTAATATGTAAAGATTTGGCAGTGGAGCACAATCTTTTAAACTTTCAACATTATCTTTTAAATTATCTTTTAATTCAAACATTAGGGGCGCCTTGTCATTGCCTATACTTGCAGCACCTAATTAGCACTTAATTCCTTGCTGTTAATATGTATCATATATTAACTTCATTGCAAATTTTAACAGTTTATTGCGGTAAAAAGTTTAGAACACCTAACTTTTAGACTTGGCACCTACTCTAAAAAGCTCCTAATTTTGGAGTTTTCTAAATGCAAATTCTTGACTTTGCGTTGCTGGCGGGACACAGCTCGTAGATTGAGCCGAAACTATCAGGATAAAAAAATTACGCTATCATTTGTGGGAACATAATTTAAAAATTGATTTAAGTATATAAAATGAATAAATAAATATTCACCAGAAAATATGAAAAAATTAAAAATTTGAAGTGTTTGAATGCTGAGTCTACAAAATAACGATGAAGTAAAATAATAAAGGTTTAGTCAGTAGTCGAAGATTTGTTATGTTTGTGTTTTGATTGAGCTGCGAGCATAACAGGTATATAATATTATAATGTACTCTGTGGGGCATAATGTAAGCATAAACAGAGGCAGGCACCAGGCAGTCAGGTTCGTGGGCCGGGGCTACGGGACGGTGGCGGGGGCCTCAATTCAATCCGTTACGTGTGCGCTCGCGACGACCGGCGGTGGCGGCGGTGCCACGAAACGGACGTGCTTCACTCAGTTCGTGCGCGAAAGTCATTACCTGCGTCACCTGCGATCGCATTTCCTTTACACGCGAAGTTCCTTCGATACGATTAAGCGAAACAAATTGTTTTATAAAACAAGGAAGATCAGTGTTTGTTCTTAAGTGACCCAGTTATAGGCGTTTGCGGCGAGTGTTAGTTGAACAAATGCAATACAACCTTGCGTTACGAGAAAGCGAGTGACGTCAGACTGACCGGCCGCGGCGATCATATGTTGAACGCGGATGCAGTGATGGAATGTGGTGTGTTGTTGTGTTGAGGTGCGATGGTGAAGTGTGCATGGTTACCTGGTCTATGGCCGTAGCGCCGCCCGGGCGCAACTCTCCTACGGGAACCATGCGCGGAAAACGATGAACCAAGATGCTGAGAGCTTGGTAATGTCATTTTTTTAACTAAGAATAATTATTTTGGCTTGTTATTAATCAACAAAATAAAGTAACTTAAGAATCGTGTGACCTCGAAGAAGAACGGCACCATATTGACGAATTTGTACGTCTGCAGAAGGCGTTTTCGATCCTTCTATTTATAATGATGATATAGAATGTAAACATTACCTACGCTCATTCTACTCGGCGATGTTCAAGGTTATTTAAAAATATTGGTTCATCTCTTAAGGCCTCAAGTCAAAAAAATCCATCGCGATTCCAACATGCATATTACGTGTAATTGTGGTCAACATTATTATAGTAACATTGAAAAAACAAACTCCTTTAATGGGCACACCGTTACCAAATTTGAATGTCCTTAAAAATATGGGTAACAGGTTAAAATTGCAAAATAGTCTGAATGAGTGAGCATCTCATTAAAATGATAAAAAGATGTTTTGCACCTAAAATAACAAATTTATTTACCTAAGTAATAAAATTCTTTATAGGTACTAGGTAAACTAGGCTTATGCCACGAAGCCAAGCAACATTTTCTCTAGTATTAAATGCGCCATGTGTGTTTTAATAGACATAGACGTGGCAATAGCAAACGTTTCGATCTGGAATTTTTTTAGATTTAGGCAATATAGTTTTACTCATAAAATTTACTCTAGACTTATAATATCTATCTATGCTACATACAGGAATGTTGGGATTTTCGTTTCGCGCCCTCTTTACTCAGACTATTCTCTTTCTACTCGGGTAAACGTCGTTGTGTTGTATCTGTTTAACATATTGAATAAAGTAAAGGAAATCTTATTACTTGATAAGAAAATATTGAGACTTACAGACTCTGCGTGATAGACTATGAATGAGAGTATCCGCAATAGAGGCGACCGCCCAATGGATCCGTAAGCTTAAGTGGCAATGTGCCGGCTATTTAGCTAAAAACATACAAAGAACCCAACCCATGCGAAAGAAAGGAACCGGAAAGCGAAAGTTAGGTCGTCTCCCCACTAGATGAAGTGACGGTGACGACCTGGTAATAGATGCAGGAAGTTGATGGTGGCTTAGGACCGTGCTCTGTGGCATTCTTTGGTTGAGCCATGTTCAGCAGTCGACTGGCTGTGATCTAAACTATGATTATGAATACTTACACAAACTTTTGTGCTATATTTTAGGTACATCCCAAAAACAACTGGCGACCCCAGTTTCTTTCTCCCTCTCTAATGTTTATTATAAGGATTCTGAGAGGAAATGCAGCAGACTCTTAACTATGACTTACACCAGGTATAAAATGTCGTGTGGAGGTAGTGTAAGAAAAGCCAAAAGTACAGTTTCTCCCGTGGGTGTCGTAAGGGAAGTGAATATGGATAATGCAATAAAGAAAGATTTCTTGGCCTTCGATAGATGGTTTCACAACCATCTTGTAAGTATAAGCTAGCTGAAGAGGCCAGGATATTGCTTCAATTAATGTCTGTTGTTTCATGTTTACTTTGTCAAAAATATTTACATATTTAAAGTAAATGTTGGACTGTTCAATTTCATACCGAATGCTTGTTTATCGCGACTACATAGTACATAACCTGCGATATTATAATTGTCTTATTTCAGCAATTTTACTCGTTTCGAAAGTGTACGTGGGACTCGTTGTTATTGATACACGGTAGATGATGCAATAAACGCGTACTTAATAATAGCGACGTTAATTCACTACGTTTTATTTTTAATAATATAATGCTCTTTCATTCTGGTTCCTTTTCGGTTTGCTCGTCATTACTGAGAAATTATTGAGACATGGAGACATGTATTTTTTTTTATTCATATATAAAGGGCTTTGTCGCTGATGCGATTATGCCGCCCTGGTAGTTACAAAAAATCTTAAATATAATTACTAACAAAAGACATGTATTTTATTTGAGATGTATTCACCAATAACTTTTCTTCTTCTTATTTTTGTCTACTCTAAAAAGAATTCTGCCAATTTCATGTCCGTATCAATAACTTTCATCGAACGCATATCGATAACGTTCCGCTTTGGAAATTAGTAGATACCTAGGTACCTACCTACCTTTAAATAACAAAGATATGAACAGATACTACCTACACAATTTTTAAGTTGTATTGTAATTCTTAAACGGGGCATATGACTGTAAAATACTTAAGTCTACAAAACATAATATTGATTTTGAAAGTAGCTTACGGCCGCCATTTTGCTTTTATAAAAACAAAACCTAGACTATTATCTTCGCACGGTTTAGAAGAATCATTAGACACTTCATTGATTAAAATCCATCCAGCCGTTTGAATACTTCGACGTTTTATTCCCTCACATACAAACAGCAAAGACAGTGTGTCACTGTGAGCAATTAGGTAAAATGCGACATTTTTCTGATATTCTATACGAATTACAGTTTTGATTTCACAATACGCGACTAAACCAAACACAATAACCACTAGCACCGACGATTGTCAATAGAAATTGTTAAGCGTTGTTGATTATACATTTTGGATAGGGTGGGCAGGAATTACTTAGCTTAATTTTTCCCTCTCTATACCATCATCGAACCACCAGACCCTCAGTTGTTCTCCGCCCCTTTGTTGTTGACAAACCACGCATTCGAACCAAACGGTTTGCTTCGTCGTTCATAATACGTACACATTTTCTCGCCATGTATAACTTGAAAACAAGATTGTACAACCAGTGCGTGTTGCCAGTGATAACATATGAATCTGAGACGTCCTTTACTATGAGGAAGCTCAAGGCTGCTCAGCGAGCTATCATCATTTCATCATCATCATTACAGCCCTTCACAAGTCCACTGCTGAACATAGGCCTCCCCCAAGGAATGCCACAAAGCACGGTCCTGAGCCACCTGCATCCATCGACTTCCTGCATATCTTACCAGGTCGTCACTCCATCTAGTGGGGGGACGCCCTACACTTCGCCTGCCGGTACGAGGCTGCCACTCGAGAACCTTTCTTCCCCATCGGTTGTCGGTTCTTCGAGCTATATGGCCGGCCCATTGCCACTTCAGCTTACTAATCCGTTGGGCTATGTCGGTCACTCTAGTTCTACTGCGGATATCCTCATTTCTGAGTTTATCACGCAGAGAAACTCCGAGCATAGCCCTCTCCATAGCTCGCTGAGCGACCTTGAGCTTCCTCATCCGGCCAGTAGTGAAGGACCACGTCTCAGTTCCGTATGTCATCACTGGCAACACGCACTGGGTGTACAGTCTCGTTTTCAAGTTTTGAGGTATACCTGACGAGAAGATGTGCCGTAATTTCCCGAACGCTGCCCAACCGAGTTGAATCCGTCGATTGACCTCTCGGTCGAAGTTGGACTTACCTAATCGGACTATTTGTCCCAGGTAAACATACTCGTCAACAACTTCGAGCTTAGTGTTCCCAACAACTACCGGCATAGGTGTGACATGGACATTAAACATGATCTTTGTTTTGTCCATATTCATCTTAAGACCTATCCGTTGGGAAACACTATTGAGGTCATTGAGCATAGTGCTTAGGTCCTCCAGCGATTCTGCCATAAGGACTATATCGTCGGCAAATCGAAGGTGAGTGATGTACTCGCCATTGATGTTGATACCGTATCCTTTCCAGTCCAGAAGCTTGAAAACATCTTCCAATGCAGCGGTAAAGAGTTTCGGGGATATGACGTCACCCTGTCTTACACCTCTCTGCAATTGGATAGGTTTCGTACTCTGGTTCTGTACTCGGATAGCCATCGTAGCCCTACTGTACAAGCACTTCAACACTTCGATATACCGACAGTCAACTTGGCATCGCTGAAGGGACTGCAGCACCGCCCAAATTTCGACGGAATCAAAAGCTTTCTCATAGTCCACATACGCCAGACATAGTGGCAAATTGTACTCCTCGGACTTCTGTACAATTTGCCGAAGGGTATGTATGTGGTCTATGGTGCTAAAGCCTTTTCGGAAACCGGCTTGTTTGGGAGGCTGGAAGTCGTCAAGTCTGCGCGCGAGACGATTCGTAATGACTCTCGAAAACAGCACGTAGACGCGGCTCAGAAGGGAAATCGGTCTGTAGTTCTTCAAGAGAGCGTTGTCGCCTTTCTTGAAGAACAAGACCACCGCACTTCTGCTCCACGCCTCCGGTGTAATGCCACCATGGAGGACGGAATTAAAGAGCTTCTGAAGGACTTCAAGTACCGGTTTTCCACCCGCTTTCAGAAGCTCCGCTGTAATTCCATCCTCGCCTGGGGCCTTACCGTTTTTAAGGTGCTGGAGAGCCATTCTAATCTCGCTCAGACTGACGTCCGGGATATCATCGGAATAATGTCGGATAAGACTCGCTCTTGGATCGTTACTCACACTTGCGTGCGGCTCCAACGATGACGTGTACAGCTGCCCATAGAACCTCTCAATCTCACTCAAAATCTCAGGTGCCCCGGAAACGATGCTGCCACATTCTGTCTTCAGCTTTGACAGTTGGCGCTTTCTGGCAGACAGATCTCTGGCAAAGACTTTGGAGCCTTGGTTCCGCTCGATCGCTTCTTCAATACGAGCTGTATTGAAGTTGCGTAAGTCCCGCCGCATGCATTTGGAGATCTGTCTGTTCAGTTGCCTGTATGCTGTTAAATCTGTTGAAGAATGTAGCTTCATCTCCCGTCTAACAGCCATGAGATTAAGAGTGTGATCGGAGAGTTTTTGTGTTCTTCTGCGGCGGGTCTTGCAGAACTTAGCTCCGACCGCATGGACAGTTTCCACGAGCTTGTCATTCAAATCGTCCACTTCATTGCAGTCTTCTAGGCACTGAAAACGGTTTTGTAACTCGAGCTGAAAGGTTTCGGGACTTTGGATTAGAGCACGAGGGGGACGGAGCGTTGACTTCATTAGACGAGACCTCTCCAACTTAACGTTTAGGTTCAGTGTGCCTCTAACCATTCGGTGATCGCTGCCGGTTTTTACCCTCGCAATCACTGAGACATCACTGAACAGTTGTCGTCTGGTCGTCATAATGAAGTCAATCTCATTTTTTGTCGAACCGTCGGGGCTCAACCAGGTCCACTTCCTGTGGGGCCGCTTCTGGAAGAAAGAGTTCATCATAAAGAGTCCCTCTTTCTCCATGAAGTCAGCCAACTGCTGGCCCCTTGGGTTCCGTTGCCCTATTCCAAATTTCCCTACTTTCAGCTCACCGTTCTCTCATGTGCCTAGTTTTGCATTGAAGTCTCCCATTAACACCGTATATTGGGTTTTGGAGGAATGCATGGCTCTAGAGATATCCTCATACATTTTCTCCACCTCCTGATCGGGGTGTGCCGAGGTTGGTGCGTAAACCTGTATGACCTTCAGCGAATACCGTTTGGTGATTCTGAGTATAAGGTACGCAACCCTCGTCGACACACTCTCAATCTTTACAACGTTGTTAACGAGAGACTTGTGGACGATAAATCCGACACCTCCTTAGGACAGATGATCGCCCTCCCGGTAATATAGCAAGTTGCCGGATTCGAGGATTACCGTGTCCTCCCCCTCTCTTCGGACTTCGGATAATCCTATAATATGCTAGCGTAACTTGTCTATCTCTTCTTCCAGCTCCACAATCTTCTCGTCAGTCCTCAGGGTGCGTGCGTTGTACGTTGCCAGGTCGAGTCGTCGTAGGTGGCAACCGAACCTCCACCGGAGATTCTTAGCACCCCCTGCCCCGCCGTTACCATGGTCGCCACCGTAGCCAGGAATAGCGGGGCCGCCGGGGACTGGGGGCCGTTTATTATTGTCATTGCTCATGGGGGGTATATTGCCATAGTTGCCACGCTTGGCGAGCGGGTTGGCAACCGCAGTTTTTTTATTGTTATTTTGGCTATTATCAGGAAGATGCTGCTGCCCATCTCCTGCCTGTTTCCCTTTGTCGCCTTTTACGACACCCACGGGAAGATATGGGGTAGTGGATATTCTTAACCGCCACTACACGGGGAAGCGAGCTATGGAGAGGGCTATACTCGGAGTTTATCTTCGTGATAGATTTAGAATTGAGAATATCCGAAGTAGAACCATAATAACCGATATATTCCAACGGATAAGTAAGCTGAAGTGGCAATGGGCCGGCCATAAAGCTCGAAGAACCGACAACCGATGAAGAAAAAAGGTTTTCGAGTGGCAGCCTCATACCGGTTAGCGAAGTGTAGAGCGGCCCCCACGATGGATGTAGGTTATTCATCATCGTGTTTTGTGGCATTCCTTGTGGAAGGCCTATGTTCAAAAAAAGGCTGTGATGAATAAATGAATAAGGCCGAATTTTGGTTAAGGCAGCCACTCCGAACGGGGTCTAGCTATTTGCAGAGGACAAGATTAACTCTTGCGCACGCACTCTTGCGCATGTAATATCTTATATATATATATATATATATATATATATATATATATATATACTTAGTCAGGTCATAAATTCTGTCACATGTTTAATATAAAATAATTGAAACAAGTTTATTCATTATGTAACCATTTATATATACCCAAATGAACTTAACAAAACATAACATAGATTTTTTGACACTAAAGTTTATGACCTCCGTGATTTTGAATACAGGTTCAATCTGTGCGGCCAGTCGTCTATCGCAGCACGAACGAGTTCCATGTCAATATCGGCGGCTGCCTTAATCAAGGATGTCTTGAGTGACTCCAAATTGGGATGAGGCTTTGAGCACGCCTTTTCCTCCGAGTGTTGCCATATCTTGTACTCTAACGGATTCAAATCTGGACTGGAGGAGGGCCAGTCTTCGTGCCGGATGAAGTCGATTTCCCGCGCCGCCAGCCAGTCTTATGTGCCTTTCGCTCTATGAGCTGGCGCCGAATCTTGTTGAAATACCCAGTGCCTATTATTGAACATGGTGTGAGAAACAGGTTCCACAAGGATCGTCAGGACTGTATTTTGATACACAACTGCATTCGTTTTTAGACCTTTCTCACAAAAATATACCTCTGTTAAGCCCCAATAAGAAACTCCCAACCATACCATGAGCGAGGATGGAACATGACCTCGTTGGACACGCGGAATATGGTTACTCGCTTCTTCACTACTGTGTGCGTACACCTTATCATTTTGTTTATTGTAGCTCTCTTCTAGGGTAAAAATTTTTTCATCCGAAAAAAGAATTTCACGATATTTTTTTCCCGCGTACCGCTTCAACAAAGCGCGGCATCTCTTCAGTCTCAGGTCCATTAGACGAGCATTCAAACGAAGTCCTGTTTTTCTTCGATATGCCCGAAGCCCTAAGTCTTTATTTAACACCCTTTTCACCGTGGTTCTGCTTAACCCCATCTGAAGGGCCAACAGTTTCTGCTTACGTTTGGGATTTCTTTGAATTCGCGCCTTCACAGCTTTTATCACTGCCTAGTCCTAACAGACCGAGGGCGATCACTTCTTGACCTGTCATCTACACTAGAGTCTTCAATGTATCGTTTGATGGTACGATAAACGAATCTTTTGGTTATATTCAAATGTTTCAGTATGTCAAAAATTTGAATTGGCGCGTAACCGCAACGATGCAACGCAATAACTGCAACACGGTCTTCTTTAAGCGTCCACTCCATATTTAAAAATGAGTAAAATTCTAAAAAGTATACAGTTTTATTTTCATTAACAATTCGAAATTCGAATTCAATAAACTTATTTGTGGCCAGCATTCTAAAAGAAAAGTTTTTACTGTGTGACAATACTTATGACCTGACTAGGTATATCTCTTCCCTCAGTCTCATAATCCGACAAGGCGGCAATCCGACACGATCTGTTGTACGTGCTTTCCGAGGCACGTGGGTGAAACACCGCCAACTTTCTGACTACGGGTTGCTACTGAGAATTTCTTGATAGATAACTTCGACAACTGATTTTGGTCTAACTCGAGATACCAACCCGGGCGGATTTCATAATAAGTAACGCTTACGACCACAAGACGAATGAGGCAACGCAAAGTCAAATTAACCCCATAGTGCATGATTTTTTCTTTGTTGATGAAAAAAATATATAATATGATGGAAAATAAGAAATAAACAGACACGGTTTCAGCATTTATTTATTAATTGCAAAATAAAAAAGAAAATATTCCGTTTTATCTCTTTGGTACATATTTGGTCCCGTGAGCATAAAATACAAAATTATTATTTTAGTCTTCTTTTTAGTAAATGCAATCAATTTGTAAATAAAACAAAATTATGTTTTATAAAATAGTTTGACACGATTTCTTTTGTCATTGAGGCATAGGTTTACCCTACATTTATGGCACTCAACATGTGACCTACCATTACATTCTGGTACTTTACACCGCTGTCTAGTGCCACAGATAGGCAGATGATCTATTTGTTCCAGCCGTAGATCTCTGGCCGGCATGATAGCAATAGATCCTCCCAATTTCTTTGATTCAATGGCATTTTCCAGGTCATAAGAAGGTCGTCCCCGTTTGCCACTTATTGATGGTTTTTTGGTTTGGCATAAACCTACTAATATATAGTTTAAACAGTGGTAGAGCCACGCGGCAGCTTTTGCTGTCGCACGGATGGGCCGGCTCGAACCGGGGTGGTACCACGACCTCACAGAAAACCAGCGTGAAGTAGAGGTTTACCTCTGCGTTTCGCTTGGTGAGTGCAGGTGGCCGGAGGCCCTTTTTACTGGAAATGAGGCATTCCATCTTAGTCCTCACGGGTGACAACGCATCTACATTTTGATTTGTAATAGAGGATAGATGTAGATGTCTATGGGCCGCAGCAACCACTTACCATCAGGTAGACTGTGTGCTCGTTTGTCACCCGTATCCTATAAAAAAAAACCTTCACCTACTGCACACTTGAAATCTACTAAAGGCAGTGATGGCTCCGAATCGCCCAGTTCGCCTTTATAGCAACCACGAATTAACAGTTACCATATCAATCATGTGGAAAAATATGCGGTGATAAAACTTCTTAGATGTAATCTGTTTACCCCACCCATATGCCTATTATAAAATATGACAGCCTTTGGAAACGACACATTTTGATAAGCTTTTTTATTGAAACGTCCAAGTTCAGCCGGTGGTTTACTACCGACGTAAGTTGAAGTCAAGTTCACAACTCTGTCATACCGAACTACAGAAATATCGGTATTGTCCACAGTGGTTAATTTTTCTACAGTAGCTCGTCTTCCTTTTTCTTCAAATCTTTTTCAGCTGGAACCTTGTAACCTGGGATACAATTAGCTTTTATCGTGCCTAATGGTAAAATAGATTTCTTGTTTAGGTAGGTCAAAAGAGGCATTGACATGTAAAAGCCAAAAAATAACTTGTACTTAGTTCTTACTTCTGGTATTGTACTAGAAAGGCGAACTACGACATCACTGGTAGTAGTTATTTTTGGTACATTAGGGCCACTCTGTATAGGACCATGAGCTCTAGTATAAATTTCAAAATCGTAACTAAATCTAGAACTGCCACTAAGCACAAAATTCTTATAGCCCCACTTGTGGGGTTCCTTAGATTTATATTGCCGTATAGATGATCTGCTCTTAGTCAGTATAATTTGCTCATCAACAGCCATATACTGTTTTTAGGGACTGTCAAAATCCTTTGCCTTATGATTTCCAATATATATATAGGAAAGAGGATTCTCAAGAATCCAATTATTAATTCACTTACTTGATGATCGCTATTCTATAATACTTTAAACGAAGCGCTATCAAGTCGTAAGTAGCTGACTCAATACTTAGCGGCATTCGCAAACGTAGCAATCAAGCGAAAACTTAATATTAGGCAGGAATAGACTTTAAATACGATGAAAAAAAGACGAAATACGTAGATGACTGCACTCTTCGCTGTATTCAATATTTTAAAGAGGTTTTTGAGTGTCATAGGCTGATATCCCATATAATAAAAATTTTAGTAATGCGTTAACTTATTTCACACATACACTTATGCCTTTGAATGTTATTATATTAGTAACTAAATTATAAAATAAAAAAATACTTGTAATGCACCTTAAAATCAAACCTTTTTAAAATTCTTATAGAAAATTTCCTACATCGATTTGCACAGGTGTAACTTTTACGAGTGCTTGTTGTTCTATGATAATTTGCAACCGCATTTTTCTGTAGAAAGTGTAAGTGAGCGGCGTGGACCTTATCGAACAACTACTTCCTGGTTCGTGGCGTGTCTGTTTGCCATACTATAAATAAGAAAACTAAAGCTTAAAATGTATAGGGTATCGTTTTATAGGTTATTCAGTACCAATTTTAACGAAATCATAACAAGAATGGAATAATAAAGCATTAATGATTGGCTAACATTACCTAAATATTATAATAACAATTGACTGACTCGTTGATCTAATGGTCGTAAACGCGGGCCAAAATCAGTTAGAAGTTTTACTGTCAAGAAATTCTCAGTAACAGTTCTGTGGTAATATAGTCAGGAAGTAGTCGGTGTTTCACCCCCGTACCTCGGAAAGAACGTAAAGCCGTTGGTCACTCCGGTCGTGTCGGATTACCGTTCCATCAGGCTATGAGAGTGAGGGAATAGAGAGTGCACCTGTGCTTGCGCATACACTTGGGCACTATTATCCTGTCCTGAGCAGATGACTACTATCCATTGAGATTGGTCGCCATGACCAAAATTCGGTTATTCAGTTTATTTACCCTAAAACATCTAACCTAGGGTGGAAACTCGGAAACGCGCGTTCATCCTTCCAAGACAGACGAGGTGGATAATCGAAATACGTATATTATTTTTCTTCCAATTTCCTCCCTCAGCTGAATATAATCATTTCTAGAAACATGATAAAAACTGGCCCAAGATCAATTAAGAATCAAAATGCAGATGCGATATCACCAGTGAGGACTAAGATGGGAATGAAATCCAGTAAAAAGGGTCTCCGGTTCTTTACACTCACCATACGAAACAGCAGCGTTAAGCTGCTATTTTACGTTGGTTTTCTGTGAGAGCGTTGTCCTTCCCCGGTCGAGCCGACCCATTCGTGCTGCAACTATAACACAGCTGCAGCATGGCTATACCACGTAAAAAACATCTAAACATAGTCTTTTAATGAATAAAGACTAACATTACTATAAAAATTGTTAAATGCAAACATGCAAAATTAGTAAAGTTTCTCGCCCAGTTTTTCGCTAACACATTTGGTGTAGCAAAGCAATTTAGAAAACGATTGTAAATGTTCGTTAAAAGATACGAATTTATCCAGGATATAGAATTCATCATCATTACAGCCATTCACAAGTCCACTGCTGAACTTAGGCCTCCCCTAAGGAATGTCACAAAGCACGGTCCCGAGCCACCTGCATCCATTGACTTCCTTTATGTCTTACAAGTTGTCATTCCATCTAGTGGGGGGATGCCCTATGAAGAAGTTTCAAGGAGATTGATATTAAGGTCTCCACATACGACGACAGATTTATTCTGTTTATTAAGTTAAAGCAAAACTTTCTCAATTATTTTTTGAAAACAATCATACATAGAATGTGGGGGTCTGTAAACACTGACAACAATCAAGTGCTTGAACTCAACACATGCCATTTCTACAGTTCGCTCAACAGGCTCACAATATCCTTACGTTCTTTACTTATTCATTATTTATTAGCAGATATTAAGGAGCCACCGCATAAATTTTTTTCTCTGTTAAAGCAACGGACCACCTGGTGTTTACTGAAATTAAACATATTATAATAATGTTCAGTTATACAATAAATATGTATGTTGTTACTATTTAAAAAAGAATTCAATTTCTAATTCTATGCCCAACATGCCTTGCATATTTTGTATGCACCAGGTGTATACAATTTTTATGATTGTTTTTTGAGAAATTATACAATTAACCATTTGTGGGCTACATTCTGGATAATTTAAATTGTTACTATGATTGCTAGATATTACCTCTATTGTCTCATTTTCTAATATAATTTACTTGGAACTGATTCCAAATTCAATGTAAAGTCATTATACTTCTCAATAGAAGCAGATGTGTGGGTAGCCATATCCCTGGCTGAGTTAAAATATAAATAATAAGATAGCACATTTGCTATCAGTCTTATACTATACTTTAATACCTATCTCTTGTAAAAAACTTCTTAGTTAAATTATTAATATCATTTACTTTAAGTACCAGTTTTCCATCCGCTTTGAGAAGCTCCGCTGTAATTCCATCCTCGCCCGGGACTTGCCGTTTTTAAGGTGCTGGAGAGCCATTCTAATCTCGCTCAGATTGACGTCCGGGATATCATCGGAATAGTGCCGGATAAGACTTGCTCTTGGATAGAACCTCTAAATCTCAGGTGTCTCGGAAACGATGCTGCCACATTCGGTCTTCAGCTTCGACAGTTGGCTCTTTCTGGCAGACAGATCTCTGGCAAAGACTTTGGAGCCCTGGTTCCGCCCGGTCGCTCCTTCAATACAAACTGTATTGAAATTGCGCAAATCCCGCAGCATGCATATGGAGATCTGTCTGTTGAGTTGCCTGTATGCTGTCAAATCTGTTGAAAACAGCAGCTTCATTTCCCGTCTACTACAGCTAACTACTAACAGCCATGAGATTGGGAGTGTGATCGGAGAGTGTTTGTGTTCTTCTGCGACGGGTCTTACAGAATTTAGCTCCGATCGCATAGACAGTTTCCAAAATCTTGTCGTTCATTCCATTTCATTGCAATCTTCTAGGCACTGAAAACGATTTTCTTACTGGAGCTGAAAGTTTTCGGGGCTTTGGATTAGAGCACGAGGAGGACGAAGCGTTGACTTCATAAGACGTGACCTCTCCAACTTAACGTTTGGGTTCAGTGTGCCTCTAATCATTCGATGATCGCTGCCAGTTTTCAGTCTCGCGATCACTGTGACATCACTGAACAGCTGTCGTCTGATCGTCATAATGAAGTTATTCTCATTTTTTGTAGAACCGTCGAGGCTCGACCAGGTCCAATTTCTGTGGGGCCGCTTTTAGAAGAAAGACTTCATCATAAATCTTTCTCCATAAAGTCGGCCAGCTGCTGGCCCCTTGTGTTCCGTTGCCCTATTCCGAATTTCCCTACTTTCAGCTCACCGTTTTCTATTGTGCCTAGTTTTGCGTTAAAGTCTTCCATTAACACCGTATAGTGGGTTTTGGAGGAATGCATGACTCCAGAGATATCCCCATACATCCTCCACCTCCTCATCGGGATGGACCCAGTTTGGTGCGTAAACCTGTATGACCTTCATCGAATACCGTTTGGTGATTCTGAGTATAAGGTACGCAACCCTCGTCGACACACTCCCAATCTTTACAACGTTGTGTACGAGAGACTTGTGGACGATAAATCCGACACCTCCTTGGGACAGATGGTCGCCCTCCCGGTAATAGAACAAGTTGCCGGATTCGAGAATTACGATGTCCTCCCCGTCTCTTCGGACCTCAGATAATCCTATAATATTCCAGCGCAACTTGTCTATCTCTTCTTCCAGCTTCAGGATCTTCTCGTCAGTCCTCAGGGAACGTGCGTTGTATGTTGCCAGGGAACGTGCGTTATATGTTGCGAGTCGTCTTAGGTGGCCACCGAACTTCCACCGGAGATTCATAGCCCCGCCGTTACCATGGTCGCACCGTAGCCAGGAATAGCGGGGCCGCCGGGGACTGGGGGCTGTCTCTTCGTAACTTTAGTCATGGGGGGTATATTGCCATAGTTGCCACGCTAGGCGAGCGGGTTGGCAACTGCAGTTTTTTTATTGTTGTTTTTTTGCTGTTATTAGAAAGATGCTGCTGCCCATCTTTTTCCTCAGTTTCCCTCTGTCGCCTCTTACGACACCTACGGGAACATATGGGGTAGTAGGTATTCTTACCCGCCACTACACGGGATATAAAATTAAGTAGGTATACTTAATAATGAAATTAGTGTTGGTAATTTCCTGGACGTATTGCAAAATTTATAAATTACATCGTCAATATTATTTAAAACGAGGAAGTTTAATGTAATTTAAATGCATTGCGTAATTTGATTTTTGTAGATGGCGGTTATTAATAACGAAAGCGTATGAGTATATAAATTTTCCGAAAATTCGTTTCAAAAGTTCTCCGGAATTCAGTCTGGAGGACATTAATATAATGACAATTTTAAAGAGTAGAAGTAGGGATACTTTTATAACAGTAATTGTAATCAAAGAGTTTATAGAGATATATTTATAATCACTACGTTTTAGTTGTAATTTTCATAAATTATCATTGTTTTCGTAACAGTTCACACCACCACTTTCTTACCTTCTTAGGTGGTACAATTCGTTTTCTGCCAAGGTGGCCATTTGGGTAGATACAATCCTCTTACCTAATAGTGTCTGAAGAGTCATCATCATCATCATTACAGCCCTTCACAAGTCCACTGCTGAACATAGGCCTCCCCCAAAGAATGCCACAAAGCACGGTCCTGAGCCACCTGCATCCATCGACTTCCTGCATGTCTTACCAGGTCAAATTGTACAGAGAGCTAATATAGTACAGGTAGTGGGACATTTCATCTTAGCCTTCAGATGTGACAACGTATCTGTAGCAGACTCCGTTTGAAGTTGGCTGCAGGT